TAAATGTACATCTACATGCAGTGTATATGCATACACACATAAATGCATACACACATGTACGCACATATATACACAGCCCCAAACATCTCCATATATTGCAAAAAAAACACCACAATAAAATTAATAAAACAACAATACTCATACTCAGCATCCCTATATCTTTTGTAAATAACATTTTTATACATCTCCTTAATTTTTTTTTATGTTTGGACATTCCTTAAGTTCTACACTCAGACTGTTCCACAGTTTTACTCCACCAACAGAAATACAAAACCCTTTACAAGTTGTATGAACAATCCTTGATCTAAAGTTAAACTGACCCCTTTAATGATAAATCCCCTCCTCTTCAACAAATAATTTCTGAATATTGCTGGTAATAATTTGTTTTTTGATTTAAATGTTATTAGTGCTGTTTGTACCTCTACCAGATCTGTAAATTTTGTAGTTTTGACAAAAAGAATAATGAAATGGTGTGATCCCTTTATCCAGCCCCATGAATTACCCTTTTTGCTTTCTTTTGCAAAATGAATAATGGTTGTATAACAGTTTTATAATTATTGCCCCAAACTACTGCACAATTATTTAAATATGGAAGAACTATGGAACAGTAAAGGATATGAAGTGATTTGTAATTCAGAACTTGTTTTGCTTTATGTAATATTGCAATTCCCCTTGACACTTTGGCTTTTACATGTCTGATATGAGATTTCCAGCTTATTTTTTCATCAATTATTACTCCAAAAAATTAATTTCATTCACCCTTTCAATTTGAAGCCCCTCTAAATTAACTTGTAATTCTAGTTTAGCTCTGCCAAACCCAGAAATAATAAATTTCATTTTGCTTAAGTTCAATGATAATTTATTCATGTCAAACCATTTTTTAATTTTCTTTAGCTCTGTATCTATCCTATGTTCTAACAATTTCAAGTTATTACCTGAGAAAAATAGGTTTGTGTCATCAGCAAATAAGACGTATTTCAAAGACTCTGATACCTTACATAAATCATTAATATACAAAATAAATAACTTAGGACCCAATACTGACCCCTGGGGGACACCACACTAATGTCCAAACATGAAGAGCAGTGAACACCCATCTTCACAAACTGCTTCCTGTCACTAAGATAACTCTTCACCCATCTCAACACAATGCCCCGATACCATAACGTTCTAGTTTTTTTTTTTTATTAAAATGCTGTGATTTATAGTATCAAACGCTTTCTTCAGGTCTAGGAATATTCCAACTGTGTACTCCTTTTAATCTAATGAGTTAGTAATTTCTTCAGTTAAGTCCATTAACTCTAATGCTGTTGATCGGTTAGCTCTGAATCCATACTGACTCTCTGTGAGTATTTTGTGAGTAATTTATATCTAATTATATTTATGTAATTATGAATTTTAATGATTTGRCTGATTAATCGGAAAAATAATAGACAGATTAATCGATTATTAAAATAATCGTTAGTTGCAGCCCTACTAAAGTTACTAGCCAAGTTTCCATTAAAGCAGGGGTGTCAAACTCCWGTCCTCGAGGGCCGCTATCCTGCATGTTTTAGAGGTTTTCTTGCTCCAACACACCTGATTTTGATCG